GAATAAGATATGTGTCGAAGAATTATCCTGGGAAGACCCTATGGCAAGCCAGGTTATCAGCGACAATTCAGATCTCGTGAAGAATCTCCCTGGGAACTTAAAAAAGGGATTTATGGTAAAGAATTTAATATAAGTATACGTATTTTTATCACTAATAATTTACATGCATATTTTGTATTAGAAAATTGCTCGTAATATGGTACCAAATCCCAGGCCAATAGTTCAAGAGATATGTACTAAATTCATAGAAGACTTTAAAAGACGTGACAAAAGATCAAGCCGAAATGGACACATGATAAAACTTGGAAGGAATCCGATGAAGACATCGCATGTGTCGTTAAAGAAATTTTAAACGTTTTGAAAGATGTTTGGAATAATCCGGCGTTCAATTCTGATCTCACAAGATCCGTAAATGAAGGAACATACCAATCAACCGTCATTGTAACTACAATTCAGGCTGTTTTAAAAAATCTTCCTACTAAAAGCCCATTTTTTGTTAGTACATCAGAAAAGCAAAGCATTGCCAGTGCGAATAGAAAAGGAGGAAATAAGGGAAGATGCCCGGATATTATGTTCCTGGGAAATTATCTCGAAACGATCTTTGAACTTATGTATATCGAATGTTCCCGCTTATTTTGTACCCCACAAAAAAAGACGGATGATGAGATAAAATTGTGGCGGGAGGCAAATGATGGTCTTTGTTGGGTACGTCAGAGTCTCAACCCCGCTAAAGAACAGTTTGGTATTGTAGGGATACAAGTAGCGGGAAATATATTACACTTGAACGCTCTTGTTCGGGATAAAGTCAATATACCCAGATATTATCATCTTCAATCTGTTGAAATTCCTGTACAATTATCGGATGATAGAGTCGTATCTAAATCTATAGAAACTTTGTTGATTTACGAAATATAATAATTACTAACTTATCTTTGTTATATCACACATCAGTAATTACATCAGAAAGAAAGAGAGAAAATAGTACCACAGTTTCCACTCCACGATATGATAACTAGATTTTGTTGTATTTTATATTTATCTCAATAAAGATGTGATCAATAGTGATCCTAATCGGTTAACTGATTAACCGAATTTCCTTTTTAAATTTAATCACAGTTAACCATGATTAACCGTAATACCTTCCTGATTTGGAATTCTGTTTTTTCATTGGTTGTAAAGA